TTTGTATAAGAAATATTCAGAATAGGTTGTTATTGTATAAACGGTAATTGTACATCATACAAATATTTCTTATTCAAATGAAGTACCGTTATATGGTAGCCGCGTCAGTTGTATCTCCCTTCTATTCCATACTCCTTGGGTCCAACCAGTGTAAATGTATCATTCTTGGAAATAAAGTTTTGTTTTATTGGTGACATGGTTCAGTGAGCGTAGAAAGTTTTGATCTGATTGATGGGGAAACCATGTTTTCAGAAACTTAAAAGAAATATTATTTACCTTTCTCGACAAATATCTGGAAAGAGGAAAATATCAAGAGATCTTATAGTCTCAAACTTTACCCATCATAAATATTTGACTGAGAAGTTTTTGTGAACGAACATCATTTGTGAGAACGAACAGAATTGTTCGTGATGATGTTGTTCAGAAAAAAACGAACGATTGACGATAGACTTGAACTGTTCAAATAAATGTAAAATGTTTCTTTTTCTAAATCTAAACGAACGATTAACAATCGTTTGAACCAACCTTAAAAACTTAATAGTATTTTTACTGGACAAACAAATTTTTCAAAAGATTTGAAAAAACTAATAGTTTTTATTTCTGAACGCACGATTTTTAACAAACTTTTGAAAAAATGATTTTTTATTGACAGAACGATTTTATAGAATGAAAAATTTGATTGAGCAAATAAAAAAACCCAACAAAGTGGGTCGTTTACGAACAATGATTTAATAAAATGAAAAAATCGAGCGTGATCATCTCTACTATTGTGTACTACATATAGAAAAAAAAGGATAAGTGCTTATTTTTTTATCTTCCCCTCCCTTCTCTTCTTTTTGTGTAAAACTGACATTTATGGAATTTTATTAATATTGCCAATAATTGGCTTTCTGTACAATGAATAGGAACATTTTACGAGGATAACCTTTAAATCAGGAATAGCATCTTTGCCACAAACTCTGATTTTCTGATCCTTTAATCTTTGCGTGAGCACCATGTAAATATTGTTGTACTAAAAAGCACTCTCATCCATTTATTAAGCAATAACCACGGATTTAAACTAGATTATAGTATACTCTACTTAAACCAAATTCATCACTTTAAACTAAGATGATATTTTTATAATCTAATTGCTGGATATTTTTAAAAAAGTTAATTCACATAAAAAAGACACCTTTTATTTTCTCCATCTTATTATTCGTGACGCTAGTCTACACAAATACATCAAAAATAAAGATAATGATATTGTTTGCATGAAAAACCATATCCTCCATTTTAGCTTTAACATTCAAAACTAGAGATGGGAGCTGGTTCAATGTGTGCTTTCATCGTTCGTGAACAGACCATTTCGTTCATTTACAATCGTTAAAAAAATGATTTTGTCTTTACTCGAAATGATCCTTACTTTTCCAGCAATTAATTTTGTTAATTTTCTCACTGAACAATCGCTCAGTAACATCGTTCGTTCAGTAAAGTTGCTCGTTCAGTAAAATCGGTTGTTCATTAATAATGTTCTTTGAGTAAAAAAACGATAGTAATGATGCAAGTTGTAACTTTTTTTATAGAAAATTATTGATATTGCAGCCGTGCTAATACAGAACTATTAGACAGAACAAACAGGTTTTGAGTTTGAGTTATAATACTAGTGTGGCGCCCCTGGATTCCAGGAATACAGTTCACAACAATTTGTTTGTTATTGTTTAGATTATGCATTTGTTTATTATTGTTTAGATTATGCATCTGGTATAAATACTGCGTTTACATAATAAATATTCAGTCTGTTTACTTCTCTTGTCATTTAAACATCGCTACAAAGTATTATTTAAGATTCCTCCAAATTAAAAAAGTTAACTGACTATTTTGCTTTTAAGTTTTAACNACAAGCCAAATTTATATATAGATGTAAAATTCGCTTTTCTAATAATTTTCTAATAATTATGCGTAAAATCAGAACTAGAGCAGCTACGATGCACCAAGTCAAACCTATAATTTCGCATTAATTTGACCCTCTTTTTTTCTCTAGCTCAGTGTGACTGATTGGTAGGCTTATATTTTGATACTCATCCTGCAGTATCTGGTTTGAGAAAAATATATTAAATATACAGATAAATATATCAAGAACAAAGTTCTCCTCAATATTATATATAAGTGAAACAAGTATAAAAATACAAAAATATCTGTATCCAATCCATGATACCATAGACCTATTCGTGCCCCCTTAACAACTTTAACTTTTAACTTTTGCTTCTTTTTTTGCCAAAAACTGTCTTTTTTCAAAAATTATAAAGGTCGATATTTTTTGTTAAAATATCATGCCTAAAGGGACCGTTTACTTATTTGGGTAATTGCAGGGTAAACTAAACAGCCTAATCGCTGTTGATTGCAATTAGTCTTAGTTTCAAAGACAACTGTGGCCGGAGAAAAAGGAGAAACAGAAATAGACATAAAAAGTCAAAAAGACAAAAAAATTTAAAAATCATGACATTTACAATTAACGATTAGATACTACAAATTAATTCTATATTCGAAATTAATTTTGATCCCCAAAATATTGACAACAACATTAAATAGTGAACGAAAAATCGGCTTTTCATCCGGCCACAGTTGTCTTTGAAAAGTAAGACTATTACCAATCAACAGCCATCTTTGTATTTAGCGTGACTTGAAATCACGCTTCCATGTTCCTTTAAATACCAATAGCTGTCCTATAATACGTTGTGTTCAATATATTGGTTATTTTATTATAAACATGAAATCCAAGCATTTGAATTTTATTCTACAAATATTTAAAAGTTAAATGAAGTATTTAGAACGAAATTAACAAACACAAAATGGGAAATGAAGTACGGAAAAAAACTAATGAATGCATTTATTAGAAAAAAGTAAAAAGTTTGTTTTGAAAAAGCTAAATGCGCCTTGTGATATTTGATAATGTTTCAAGAATTCAAAACTTTCTTATAACATCTCCTTTGTCAAACAATGTTTAAGAATGTCCATTTAATTAAAAGTTTAAAGAAAGAAATTTCTTTTTATAGCATGTGACAGTGGCTCATTTCTTAATTGGTCTATAATTAAGTTAATATAAGTTTGAAATAGTTTAACAGCTTTTATAATTAATTAGAAAAAGGGAACACTTTTTCCACACATATAAGACATCGTTGATGATCACATATCATTAACGATGTTAATATAAGTTTAAAATAGTTTAACAGCTTTTATAAACAATTAGAAAAAGGGAACACTTTTCCACACATATAAGACATCGTTGATGATCACATATCATTAACGATGAACTGTCGTTTTTGACTAACTATTGTTAATGATAAATGTTTGTTAAAGAAAGTGTTCGCGAAAAATGAAAGGGGGTATACGCTTACGTCGAAAAAATATTGATGGTGATCGCTCAAGGAGTATGGATAGAAGGGAGATACAACTGACGCGGCCTGCCCTATAATATGATTATATTATACATGCTTTGCAGACGGGTACTCCATTTGTATTAGAATATTTAGAATAAGTTATTGTAAACCAGGTAATTGTACATCAGACAAATATTTCTTATCCAAATGGAGTACCGTCTGCAAAGGGTGTATAGTCATATGATATGGGCGGGCAGCGTCATTTATATCTTCCTTTCCATTGCATACTCTTTGTGATCGCTACTATCTGCAAATCTGTTGGAGCTAAAGGGAGACAATTGTTAAAAACGACTAATACCAAAGAACTTAGCGCTATTATATATATTACAACCCATTAGCATTGCTAATTTTTCAAAGCATTCGTATATAATCGATATTTCATAATATTTTTAATTTTTTATGGTCTGTTGAAAACATTTATTCTTGTTTCGAGGATTTTTGATAATAAAGACGACATTTTCATATTTTCCAGGAATGTTCGTAAATTCAGCACCAGCTGTTAAAACAAGCTGTAAGCTAAATATTATTAAAAAGAAATCAATAATCAAATGAAATATTAACTTTATCCGAATTATCGATGATTATAGGTTGTATTACCTTAATGATTTGTTTGGAATTAAATTGATTTTTTTTAACGATTCGAGTTGTATATTGAAATTTTCTGAATTTGTATGGACGCTACGTTTGATCGGTATTTTTCGACGTAAGCCTAAGTACATATAGTGCACTATACAGTACATGGTGTACCGGCTCGGATCATGCACGTTTTAGAGTCAGCTGCCAGACGGTTACCGAACCAAAAACAATCATTTATTCAAGAAATAGTTTTTGAAACGAAACGATTTAGAAAAACGTAGGCTAAGTTTTTCAGCTAAAGCACCAATTGTTTGCGTCAATTGTATATAGTTATAGTTGGCTTAGCCCATAAATTTCACTAGAGGGGAATTGTTCATTTGCCGTACCGTCCCGTTTTGCCTTATATTGGCAGGATATGTGTGTACTGTACAGCAGGCTATAGCAGGTTCAGAATCGGTTCGGTACATGAAATAAAACCGGAACGACTACAAAATCCCTAGAATTACAGTATGCAAGCGAAAATCTATCAACAAATTAAGAATTTACTCTGTACAGGGTTGGGCTTAGATTCAATTATAAAACTATTGCTTACAGTAGCAAAATATCATCTGTTCTGTGCATGGGGTCTGGGATGAGCCTTAATCATTAATACACATTACAAAAAGTCTTAATCTAATTATAAAATAAACAAATTATACAACGATTATATATATGTATTTATTCAGAGTGCAAAAGTGTAAGTTTCTACCTGACAGAACCAAGCAAAAGTTAATTTCAAGTTTGTTCAAAATTCATATTTCTAAACTCATTCCCATACTTCTACAACTTTTTTTAAAATGTTTGTTTTTGTACTACTTTCTGCAAAATGAAAACTTAATTGAAGCTTTGAAAGGGTACAATAATCTGCCTGTATACACCCAACGGGAAAAAAGTATTGACTTCAGTCAAATAAACTTCATTTGAATTCTATTAATAATAATATTTTCATTTGTTCTTTTCTTCCAGATATCAAACCATCATTCACCCCTTCACACCCCGACCCAACGAAAGATCAACAATCTACACTGTTCTAGCTCTTGATCTTTTAGCCATGGTGGTTACAGCACCGTAAGTAAATTTTATCATAACGGAATATTTGATGAATCAAAATTATTCATATCCCTGATGATGACAACATTATCTTCCTGTGAGCATTTTCTAAACTTTGCTGTATTGCATTGATTAAATGGCCAATTTTGTGATTAGCTTATGTCTCCAAACCCCTTGGCACTTTGTATTGGTTGAAAAAATTACATAAAGACAGACAATATAAATCAAGAATGGAATAATACTTTGCAATGTTTACAGATAATTTAATTTAAATCTTCACAGACCCTGACAAATTATTTGATTCAAAGCCAGTGTTCTAAATAGAGATGGATGCGTTCGGCTTTTTTAAATTAGTTTGTTCTTGCTTCATTCACGACCCATTTCATTTTTTTCCGTCCTTCAGTAAAAATATAAATTTTTTTATTTTTTAAATTATTCTTGAATTAAATTGTCTGTTCATTGAGAAAATTTGTTCAGTAAAATTGCTAGTTCAATTGCTACAATTCTAGCTTTTAAAGTTCTTTAATTAATTTGCTACAAAACTAGGTTTTTTAGGTGTGATATTTTTTACTAGAAATGAAGCTTTAATATATCTTATATAATCAGAAAGAATCCAAATTTTAGAGTGATGTAAATATGAATGTTTTAGGCTAAAATGTCCATATGTTGTTACTCTGAAACTTTTCCCAAAAACTGTCTTTGTAAAGACAATAGCAACGCAAAGCTTAAGCAATGCGGAGAGCTTAAAAACTCTGATTTTTCGCTAATATTCCCAGGATATGTTTCTAGAGATTTGATTTGCAATACTGTAACATTCCTTTTTTTCAACACTCTCAAAGATGGACTATTTCTGACTATAGACTTTATAAGTAAAAACTATATTAAATGACTTACTTTTATCTGTCAGAATATATTTCACAAAGGTAGAGAATAGAGTGTACAGTGTGTAGTGCCATTAAAGAGTGATAATACATATAACATACATAGTTTTTATACTAAAAGGGTTGCATTTGCGCACACATATATAAAGAATACAATACTATAGATAACAAAATTCCTTGATATACATGGTTTCATTGGTTGGTACAGAATTGTACGCAAAAAGCTGGTAAAGGATTGGTCTGGCGCGCGGCCTAGTTGACTGAGCTGGGCTTTAGATAGAAAGTAGGTTACAAAGATATAGACGTCTGGGTCTGGAAATATGATGCAATGAATGGTATAAAATAAACTGTATTTTTCGTTGCTATGCTAAGACAGTAATTTAAACATTTAGAGATCAGGATATAAATATCTAAAGGTTTTCTAACATTTATGAGAGGAACATACATTTTAGCTTATCTATATGTGACATTTTTATTTAAAAAATGTCACACAATAAAATCGCCTGTTCTGGGTTGAAAGCTTGAAATTACAATCGTAAAAACTTTTACAATAGATTCAATACAACATAGTTTCTAATTTATGGAAGAATGACCTTAACACTGTTCTTGGCAGAAATTTATGTTCCATTGCAAATGATTGTTCTGTAAAATGTTAGTTAAGAAACAAATGAAATATTTTGATGTCCCTTAGGACCATGCATGTAAAGTTCCGGTTTTACAAGAACTTTTTAATACAAGAACGAATAATTTAAATGTTGAAGGATTCGATGATTACGTAATAACTGAAATGATAAATTATGTTTTGTAATGAGTAATGATCAATGTCGCCTATTTGTGCATAATTTTGCATATTTAAGAGAATTATGTCACCTCATTTAAAAGATTGAATTGCTTTTAGAGATTAGAACATTTCTAATAAAGCTTTCTTTAATACAATAGATTTTATAGTTAACCACTCGCACGTTTTTCTAAGAAATGATGAATAAAATGATCTTTTAAATGGATTTTTCACCTTTTTAAGAATAATTTTTAGGATTGGGAACACATTTCTCTTAAAGCTTAAAGGCGTCTCTTTTACCTTCCTTTGAAGAAAATGCGATGACAATCTTTGATTATTTTGGAACTAAAAAAATTATACTGGTATGTTTTATTCTGGCTTTTTCAAAAAAAAATAATGTTCATTTTCCTAAAAATTCGTTCATTTTCTCCCTGAACGATTCAAAAGTATGTATAGCAAATCGTTCAGTAAAAGTATCGTTTATTTTTTTAGTTCTGTTCGCTAAAATCGTTCGAAAATAACGATTGTTTTCAAAATCTTTTAGAAAATTGGTTCGTTTAAAAAAATATTTTTTCATTTCTTTGAACGATCCAAGTCATCGTTCATTGTTGCTTTTTTTCTGAACAGCACCATAGTTCAAGAAGAATTTAGTTCGTTCACAAAACGATGCCCATCTCACGAACATCTTAAAGCCACAGATGCTGATTTTCTAATTCCTATATCTTTGCAACTATATGGGTAGACCTGTAGTTAAATAAAATATTCTAAGTACGAAATATAAAAGGTTGCAAAGATATAGGGATTAGATAATTTGAGTTTATGTCCAAAACTCTTTTCCTTTGAAAATGAGGGTAGTAGTAAGGAACTTTATAAAAAGTTTCTCTTTAATTTTCCAATTGTTTGACCTAAGAAGGGCGATTTGAATATTTGTTAAGGTTCTCCTACGTAATGGAGGTCGTAGCTGATAAAGATACAGGACTTCAAAACTGTTTGGAAACCTGGGAAAAACCCTCAAGGTGAGCAGAACTATTTTGTAATTAATAAAAAAATTTTCAACATAAATAGGATTGAAAAACATTAAAAAAAGATTAAGTTGAGAACCAGAAAACTCTGGAATGGGAGGTCTACCTACTGACTCAAGTTATGCCTAGGTCACTGAACATGAGACACATGCAATTTGCAAACCCCTTGGCTTAAGTTGTTTAGAAAACTTGTAACCTTTGAATTCTTTGTAAGAACATTAAAGGAATTGAGTCTTTGCCACAAACACGAATTTTCTAATCCCTATATTATTGAAGCCCAATGTCGGAGACCTTAGATATTTCAAACTATTTAGTATTTATTCTGTTAGATTAAATAATCTAAGTTTGAAATATCTAAGACTTACACCATCTGGTTGCAAAAATATAGGAATGGGAAAATTCAAGTTTGTGGCAAAGACTCAATTCCTTTACTCAATTACTACTTAGATCGTCATCCTACATTTTTTACATTTTACATACATTTTTTTATTTCAATCTGATAAGTTAGTTTTTCAATTTCAAATTCAAACAAAGGAAATTTAGAACTGTTGACAAAGTCCTATTCAAACTTAAATCCTTTTAAATCTAAAGGATTTCAGACCACCCAGCCGAGATATGAGAGAAATTTTAAATCAAGAGTTTTGCAAAATATACAAATACGTATATTTAGCAATTGTAACTCTGCATATTCATATCTGTATTTAAGAAATGGAAAACGAATTGTTTATGGTGTCGTTTAAACCATACAACTACATTGAATAAAGCAAAATTAAAGTCATTCAGTTGTTATAAATCTTTTTGTTAGAAATAAAGCTAAACAATTATTCCATAAAATATGAATGTCATGGTGCCGTCAACAGGAAACGATCTAGTCTTTTCAATAAAAGAAAACAAACTTTCGTTGAGTAACTAATCATTACAAATTAACAAACGTTGAATGCATAGTTTTTTAATGAAACGGTACTGTTTTCGCAGCCGATGGGCGATCATAAAATGTACTATCAAGAATTATTTTAATTTTTCTTAGAAATGGCATCTTTAACCGCAGGTTAAATAATCAATATCATTAAAAATAGAACATCGTTAACGATCTACACCATCATTAATGACCTGCAGATAAACAAACTGTAAACAGCATGGAAATAGGAAAACTGCAATAAAATAATTGTTAAAAAAGAAAAACAATTGGAATGAACTATGTATTTAAACAGCTAAGCTAACGAACATAGAAAAAAAAACATTTTTCAAGCAAGAAGTTTTTAATGTCTTAAAAACGACTTACACTCTGTTTTATGGAACATGGTCACAGTGCTTACCAGAAAACTTTAGAATGAATGTTGTCTAGTTAATCTATTTTATTCGGAAATGACATTAACATATTAGTAAACAAAGACTCAAAAAATCTTAATTAAAAGCCTATATACCAGTGTTAATAAATTCTCCTGACCAATCCGATATTGAGAAATCTAAAAACATGACGATTTCAGATTTTTTTTTGGCATTTAATTTTGTAAGTTAATGGTTTACAAAATCATTAAGCAAAGAAAAAAACCGGTTTGGCCTACATGAAACCTGCTGCAGTCTCTGAATGCAAGCAAACGGTCTAAATGAATTCCGTACAGTCGTCTCTGAAGTTTCATCCTTTGTAGGTAACCCTGTAAGTTTAAAAACCTCACAGAGGACCCCGCAGGCTGTGACCCCCCCCCCCCCCTCCCTTCAATCATTGGATATGGTTAAGTAATAGCTTGGATATCCTTAATCTACGTAAATAGATTACAACAGAAAATCTGTCCAGAAATGGGAATAGGCAAATGGGTATATACTCAATCCCATTTGTAATGGAACCCAATATGGAAATGATAACAATTCCCAATAAACAACTAATTAGGACGCAAAATATATACATTTTTCACATTCCTTTCCTCAGAAATAATTCTGAAAATATTACGATGAACCTGTGCTTATTACAAAATTAAATAGTTTGCGCTCTCCAAAATGTCATTAATGTCATATTTTTTGTCACAAACACGGATTTGTCAATCCCTATATCTTTGCAAGCTGATTGTAAAAACATTTGATTTTTTAAACTTAACTTATTTGATGCAACAGAGAATGCATAGTTTTAAATATCTAATGTTTACAACATTGGGTTGCAAAGATATAGGGATTAGTAAATCATAGTGTGTGGCAAAGACTTAATTCCTTTACTTTAATTAGGAGTTAGAGTGTATGCTAACGTACAGCGTCGACTCCAAAATGTTAAGCAAATATTATAAAGGAATTGAGTCTTTGCTACAAATTCAAATATTCGAATCCATATATATTTGCAACCGAGTGGTATGAAGCTTTGATATTTCAAAATATTATTCAATGTGAAAGAATTAATATTTTGAAATAGCTAAGGTCTACGACATTGGGTACCAAAGGTATTGGAATCAGAAAATCAGGGTTTGTTGCAAAGACTCAATTACATTCTGCGACTCCTAGAAAGTAAATATTGCTATTTTTGATAAGTAATTATACAATTAAAATTGTTTATGTAGATAAATAAGTCCGTCAGTCGTACTATTATCTAATTTCACGAATTTTTTAAACTAACAAAAAAGAAACAAATCAATTATAATAAATTAAAAATCGAACGACATTAAATTTTATGAACAATCGAACAAAAGGCTTCATTTCTTATAATTATTAACTGTTCATAGTTTTCTTGATAAACAAATTAATTTCAATTCATGATTGGACACATTTCTATATTTTTTGGCATTTCTAAATATTAAATTGAAAGGGTCTGTCTACTAGCTAATTAAAAGTAAAGAATTATGGTACCCTTTAAAGACATGTCTGGACAGAAATGACACAAAGATATCCTTATTTTTTATTAAAAGATTTATAATTTTAGTTTCTATATAAATATTAAAATTATCTCTTTAAAGGAAAAAATTATCTTTTTAAATAATTAAAACTCCGATAAAGTTTAGGGTATTGCTATGAATTAGACAGGATATGCCTGAAATTAATGGTCAGTTAAAACTTTATGTTAAAAGTTTTTGAAAGCTGATGCAACAATTTCAATTTTGATCTTTATTTTCTTTTCTTTTTCAGAGTAATCTTTGGAACTTTCACAAACGTGTTCCAGTTCTATGTTCCGTTTACCACCATTGTCATCTGCTACGCCAGGTATATTCCAGTTCTATGTTCCGTTCACCACCATTATCATCTGCTATACCAGGTATATTCTAGTTCTATATTCCGTTCATCACCATTATCATCTGCTACACCAGGTATATTCTAGTTCTATGTTCCGTTCACCACCATTATCATCTGCTACACCAGGTATATTCTAGTTCTATATTCCGTTCACCACCATTATCATCTACTACACCAGGTATATTCTAGTCCTATATTCCGTTCAAAACCATTATCATCTGCTACACCAGGTATATTCTAGTTCTATATTCCGTTCACCACCATTATCATCTGCTACACCAGGTATATTCCAGTTCTATATTCCGTTCACCACCATTATCATCTGCTACACCAGGTATATTCCAGTTCTATACTCCGTTCAAAACCATTGTCATCTGCTACACCAGGTATATTCTAGTTCTATATTCCGTTCACCACCATTATCATCTACTACACCAGGTATATTCTAGTTCTATATTCCGTTCAACAGCTTAGCTGGACAAAATAAATCATTAAAGGAACTGTAATGCAAAGATGGAAATGCCCGATTGTCAAAGCGCGGTAGAGTTTTTCTTTTTATATTTTCTTTGAAAAAGACGGCCTGGCCCATTTCTTGCTTATTATGGAGAACTACCGAAATCAAACACTTTTTAAAGCAGGAACATTTTGTTATCTTCAATATATTTGATCAGATTAAGGTTTCAAGGGTACCGTTGTAAATTGAACATCTTGGGGCCACTTGATAATACCCTGTCAATATCTTTAATTGGGCCTAAAATGGAAAATACTAAAGAAGTGAACTAAAGTTTTAGGATGACTGTAACCAAACTTGCAGTGTTTAATATACTTAGTTTTGTCTCACAGAAAATGAAGCACATTTTTGTGTTAAATAAATATTCATAGTGGAGGTGTTTCTCTTTGTATTATTTGTTGTGATTTATTTTAAAGAAAAATGTTTAGGAGACTAAAGGCTCTAATCTTTCAGATAATTCTAAAAGTTCTTAAAAATGATTAAATTTTAGAAATTTATCTTAGCCCTGTTTTCCTTTTTCGTGCCTTAAAAAATACAATAGAAAATTTTTTTTATTTTCTTTTAAAATTTTGTTTTATTTGAAAGCATATCTAATATTGGCTTTCATCTACAATGAAAAGGTTGTTTTAACTGCAGAGAAAAAATATCTTATTGTTTTCACTTAAAACAAGAAGGAAAAGAATAGATTTTTCAATTAAAATAAAAACTCAATTTTTTTGTTCGTTGCAAAGAAATTGAGTCTTTGCAACATTCTCCCATATTAATTCCTATATCTTTGCAACCCAATGTCGTAGAACTAAGATATTTCAAACTATGAATTAATTCTGATAGATCAAATAATCTAAGTTTGAAATATCTAAGGTGTTCACGGTTAGGCTTCAAAGATGTTGGGGTTAGACAAATTGAGTGAGATGTAAAAACTTAAATCCTTTAACCAAAAGAAGTAAAATTGTTAGAAATTGAGAAAAATTGCAATATAAGTTTGCTTGCATTGCAAACTCTATTTTCTTATCTTTAATTTTTTATCATCAATCTTAATTATTTTTCGTTTTATTCTCTTATCTTAATTGTAATTTAGAGAAAGTTATTCTAATTAAAGTAATTCTATCCTAAGTTTTATCTTTTGTAATTAGAGATATATCCTGATTTGAATCCTGATTTGAGATTTGAGACCCTTCAAGTTTAGGTTTTGAAAAAGAAATTTCCTCTAGATATTAAATATTTTAGGATAAATCATAATATTTAATGATGATGTTTTAAGATTAGGATAATATTAAATATTCTAGAACAAAATTTGTTAAAATAACATTATATAATTTAGTATAATCTATCTATAATTTGCTTGTCTGGGTGTCATTCAATAAACGTCAAAACGACTGAACCGATCGGGCTCATATTTTTTGTGGGACTTCAGATGTCCCCAGAAAAGGTTTATAGATGAACAAAATAATTTTTGAAAATCCGCGATTTTCTTTTTAATCCTAAAACATTTTGTTTTTATTTTACAATGTATACAAAGAGAAAATTGAATAATTGAGAAATACAATTGAAATAGAATATGGTCGCGAAGCGACTCAAAAGCCCAGTATATTAAATATTTTCGGATATTATCAAATATTTTAGGACAATATTATACATATTTATATTTTATGAAAATAGTAAGTAATTCTTGTATCTTAGGACCATGTTTGACATTTTGGATATCTTAAAAGATCTTAAGATAATATTAAATATGTAGGCTAAAGGAAGTGAGTTTTTGTCACAAACTCAAATTTTCTAATCCTTATTTCTTTGCAACCTGTTGGTGTAAACCTTTGATATTTCAAACTTAGACTAACTTATCTAACATAATTTATAGTTTGAAATATCATAGGTCTACGATACTTGGTTGCAAAGATATAGGAATTTAAAAATTGAGTTTGTGACAGAAACTCAATTCCTTTGAAAATATTTAAGAACAAATGTTATTTTAAAATGTCAAAAAGGATAATATTCAAAAATTACGACCGTGAACGACACCCTTCGCTAATGATCGTTGACAAGGTCGAAAAATCCTTTGAACAAAAATCCCGGAGGTCAGTAAACATCCAGGAATTATTTCTCTCGATAAAATAAAAAAAAAACATTTCAGATAACATTGATAAACTTATCTTTCTGAAAAAAATTGGAATTAATTGTCATAAAACTCAGATTCATTTGCAAAATGTTTTTCAAATTTTTTTAAACTAACTTAAACAGCTAGAGTGGTTAATCGTTTTAAACACCATTAACAACCCTAGTTTTAAGGTGATTCAGTTACTTTATCGCCTCACAACAGGGCAAAAAAGTAACTTTTTCACACCTATAACAATGAAATAAAAAAATATAATATTTTAGGATAATGGTCAGGCTGCAGGAAAGGAGAAAAAATGGCATCCCAGGCTCTAGGTAAATTAATTTACATCAAGATAAAGAATGATAATAATAATAATAATTGTATTAACATTTGAAAAATTTACAAAAATGTAAATCCTTTAAAAATTTATTTACATAATCCAAATAATCAACAAATAAATTTATAAATTTGCTATTAAAAAAAGTTTGAAAAGATTTTACTCCTTTAACGGAAACATACTCAGTATCCATAATATGTAATAATATCCAATCACCCAACTCGTTTAAGTTGGGTATAAGAGTTGATATCAGGGTTTTTTTTAAATTATTCAAAATTAAAAATAACTGGTTTGAGGCTGTTCAAATATGATGATATTTCTAGCTCATATAGAAATAGAAGTTATGATTGAAAATATGACGGATATTAGTCGAATATAACTTAAGGTTGATAAGTATTTGCTGAAGAAAATTAATGTTTTATTTTCCACAATTTCTTTCTATATTTTTCAATACAATGCATGTATAGAATATTTGATATGAAACATAATGCATCTGATGGATGAACAAACTTTTACCTTTTATAACAACTCAAAGAAAATAGGAATATAAAACCTTCTTTGCTTTTATCATAATTTTACAATATACAGTACACTTTTCTCGTAAATGACTACGGATAAAGTAACATTCATTTTCATTAGTGATTCAACATTTTTGTCAAAAATGTTAATCATTTTATTGCTAAAGTGCGGGCATAAACCATATCAAAGAAATTTTGTTCAGGAATAATACTTATAATTACAAAAATAATTTCCTGTGGCGTATAATTAGGGAAAGGCACGTTAAATTTTTTTCTAGGTGTTTTGTTATCTAATAGTTTCAACAGTTAAAAAACAAATTCTGGTAGCTCTTTAGTTTTAAAGATAACAGCTTTCTTTTGAGTTACCGTTAATTACCAATCTCTATTTAATTAACTACAATAACAGAAGATATTCCGCCGTTAACGGTTGTCTTCTGCAATTAAAGGCGTTAACGGTTTGCCAAGACTCCAAAATTTCCATAAAAAATCGTTAACGGTTTATCAAATTGTATTTACGGCACAAGCCGTCACTAAATTGCAAAAAATTCTTTAAAAGTTTTATTATATAAGGGGGAAAGACGACATTTAAAAACATTAAAATACAGAGAGATTTTACTGTTGTTGAAAATTTCATGCAATCATAGCAAAAAAAAGGACGTAAGTTGTCTTTATTTTAAAACTCATTCGTTCATCCTTGGCTAATCAGATTCGTTAATGATTCAACATTTACGGACTTTTCCGTTAATTTTCGAAATCCCCTGTTTCGTTACCGGAACTTTACACAGCCCTAGGCTTGATATGCTTTCATTTTTCATGTTATCATGTCATGAAAGTGAGCACAAAGCATCACTCCCACCCAGTGCCCCGTCAGGACAAATGGAGGAAAATGTACGCTAGATTGTGAGGAAAATATTTCATAACCTTTCGTTTTTATAAATAAAGATTAGAAATACCGTTAGATCTCTTTTATTTTATCATATTGACTTTTAAAGTCAACAAATCTATGTATAATTTACTTGTCTGGGTGTCATTCAATAAACGTCAAAACGACTGAACCGATCGGGCCCATATTTTTTGTGGGACATCAGATGTCCCCAGAAAAGGTTTATAGATGAACAAAATAATTTTAAAAAATCCGCGATTTTGTTTTTATCCTAAAACATTTTGTTTTTATTTTACAATGTATACAAAGAGAAAATGTTCACAATTGAAATAGAATGTGGTCGCGAAGCGCCTCAAAAGCCCAGTATATTAAATATTTTCGGATAATATTAAATATTTTAGGATATTATCAAATATTTTAGGATATTATTACATATTTATATTTTATGAAAATTGTAAAAATTATAGAATAATATTTTTGTATCTTAGGACAATGTTTGACATTTTAGGATATCTTAAAAGATCTTAAGATAATATTAAATATGTAGGCTAAATTTGAAAATATTTAAGATCAAATGTTATGTTAAAATGTTAAAAAGGATAATATTCAAAAATAACGACCGTTAACGACACCCTTCTCTAATGATCATTGACAAGGTTATTAAGACAAAATACATTTTTTGGTCGGAAAATCCTTTGATCAAAAATCCCTAAGGTCAGTAAACATCCAGGAATTATTTCTCTCAATAAAATAAAAAAAAACATTTCAGATAACATTCAGAAACTTATCTTTCTGAAAAAAATTGGAATTAATTGTCATAAAACTCAGATTCATTAGCAAACATTTTTTCAAATTTTTTTAAACTAACTTAAAGAGCTAGAGTGGTTAATCGTTTTAAACACCATTAACAACCCTAGTTATAAGGTGATTCAGTTACTTTATCGCCTCACAACAGGGCAAAAAAGTAACTTTCTCACACCTATAACAATGAAATAAAAAAATATAATATTTTAGGATAATGGTCAGGCTGCAGGAAAGGAGAAAAAATGGCATCCCAGGCTCTAGGTAAATTAATTTACATCAAGATACAGAATGATAATAATAATAATAATTGTATTAACATTTGAAAAATTTACAAAAATGTAAATCCTTTAAAAATTTATTTACATAATCCAAATAATCAACAAATAAATTTATAAATTTGCTATTAAAAAAAGTTTGAAAAGATTTTACTCCTTTAACGGAAACATACTCAGTATCCATAATATGTAATAATATCCAATCACCCAACTCGTTTAAGTCTGGTATAAGAGTTGATATCAGGGTTTTTTGTTTAAATTATTCAAAATTAAAAATAACTGGTCTGAGGCTGTTCAAATATGATGATATTTCTAGCTCATATAGAAATAGAAGTTATGATTGAAAATATGACGGATATTAGTCGAATATAACTTAAGGTTGATAAGTATTTGCTGAAGAAAATTAATGTTTTATTTTCCACAATTTCTTTCTATATTTTTCAATACAATGCATGTATAGAATATTTGATATGAAACATAATGCATCTGATGGATGAACAAACTTTTACCTTTTATAACAACTCAAAGAAAATAGGAATATAAAAACTTCTATGCTTTTATGATAATTATACAATATACAGTACGCTTCTCTTGTAAATGGAATTAAAAACTACGCAAGTTTTCTGATAAAACCATATATGGAAAGCTAATAACAATATAAAGTATAGTTAAGAATAAATTGTAAATTGCTTTAAAAGAAACTTTTGTTTCAGCATACAAAATTCAGCATCAATTTATTATCATTATTTTTGAATAGTTTTCTGTTTATATTTACGTTGATTAAGAATATTATTTGAAAACTAGTTAAAAGTATAAACAATAAATGTATACATTAAATATGAAAAAATAAAAATCATTAGATAAAATAAAAAGAGGAGTAAAAGCTCACAAAAAACATAAATCACTATTCAATTCATCTACACATAAAAGGGTCAGTCCTGAATCTAAAATTCATATGAAATCAATACTTTTGAAATATTTCATACACAGATTAGATTTATCTATGCTCAAAATATTCATTTGAAAAGGAATATAAATGGTGTTTCGAGATTTATAAAAATGTCACATACCTATCTTTATGTGTACTTTGCTTGTCTGTTGATATGTTTGTATCCAATAAACGTCAAAACAATCGGGCCCAAATTTTGAGTAGGGGTGGTTTATGAATTTGATTAAAATTTCAAAAATTAGTCTCCAACAAAATTTTATTTCCAGTAAAGGAATTGAGTCTTTGCCACAAACTCTAATTTCCTAATCACTATATCTTTGGAACAAAATGTTGCAGACCTTAGATATTTCAAACCATGAATTCTGTTAGATCAAATAATCTGAGTTTGAAATATCAAAGGTTTACAACATCGTGTTCTAAGATATTGAGGTTTAAATATTTTATTTTGCTCCAAAGACTCAATTCCTTTGGAAAATCCATGATTTTTTTTAGAAAATCCGCAAACTTTTTTGTTTTGTTTTGTTTTACAACGTATACAAAGAGAAACTGTTTTTCAATTGAGATAGAAGATGGACGCGAAGCGCCCTGCAAACCTAATAAAACAAATTTATTAATTAAACTTTTAGATCTGCTAAGAAAAGACAGGAAGAAGAGGAACGGGCTAAACGGACCAACAGGTAAATATTTTACAAAGGAAACATCAAGCTTCAAAGTTTCAGAAAACTTAAATTAGCAAAACTTCAACCCTGTCACATTTTATTTCTAAGAGAATATTTGATTCTATGACTAAGTTTTGTTCAAAAAGTTAAGAAAACAATTCAAATATTGTAATTTATTAAAGCTGAAATGCAATCCAATTAAAGTGTGCCATTTAATATTTGTTTTCTCACGGACTAAACTCTGAACCAGCCCCTTTTTTNGGGTTAAAAAGTAAAAAGTTTAGCTTTAGAAATTCTTTACTATCTCTTAATCAATATATAAATATTTACGCTGTAACAAGCCCAATGGCTGGACCAAACTTTTTTGAAGGAACCCATGGACTAAAAACCTGGGCAGATATTGGTACTTCATCTTCATATACCAGCTAAATTATTGCAAACTTTATTATACAAGAAGTAAAAAGTTATTTGCAAGTTAATCAACTTTAAAGGGAGTGTTCGCGAAAAAAGAAAGGGGGGTAAAGGCTGATATCGTATTAAATTCGATCTTTTGATAGCAACGTATTTCGATAGTAACTAGTTTTGGATAGCAAATAAGCATTGTTAGTAGTTGAGACTAGATAGCAAAAGTTTTGATAGCAAGTGAGGCCTGATTGCAAATTGAACTGATAGCAACTGAGGCTGGATAGCAAGTGTGGCGAGAAAAAGTGAGGCCTCAAGATAGCACGTGAATTGATACCAAATGAGGGAACAGCAAGTGAGTGGATAGCAAATGATCGTGCTCCTAAATCTATATACTACTCATTCAGATACAATGAATCCCAGATGTATGAATACATAGCAAGAGTTTTTTTTTGATGTTGTATTACATATTTAAGATCAAATGCCGCGGAAAAATGAGTTTAATATTAATATATGAATTGCATATTTCAGGGCTATTAATTTACCTTGAATTAAAAATAAAAAGAAGTTTCTTTAGGATTATTAAATAACGCATGACGGTCTCGCGGGCAGCCGTAGTAAATTTGAATTTCCGAGCAGGGTCAACCTTTCCGGTCCCAGTTTGTACTGTATCGCCCAGACATCGGGTAAATAAAGCAAACACTCAATAGGACTAGCCGGTGCAACAAGGTTGACGTGGTCAGACTTTAGGCGGAATTTACTTTTACTGAAGGGTCAGGGGTGCGTGGTCTATCTATTCATATATCTGGGATTCACTTCACTGTATCATAACCTACAATTTTCTAATTCAATTCAATGTATTCGTATAAAGTTGATATTTTCATAATATTTTTTATTTTTGTGATCCAACAGTTTTTTTTCAAATATTTATTACAGTTTCGAGAATTGTGATATTGAAGACGATATTTTCATATTTTCCAGTAATGTTCGAAAATCCAGAATCAGAAAACAAGTTGTAAATTAAGCGAACTGCAAAATATCAATTAAAAAACGAAATAAAAAATATTCTGAAATATCAGCTGAATACGAATGTAACGAATAGCATTCGGCAATTGTAGGTTGTGATGCGATGAAAGAGCAGTTTTAAATGTAATTGAATTATTTACGATCTCAGCGAAATATTTGTATGTGTCCTTCGATCTTTGGCCGCAAATTAGCTCCTGAGGCTGTGGTTTCTTTTCCCCATTGAAGAGGTACAGCTGGTTGAGGTGTCTGGTTTGGTTGAAGGATAGGGGTTGGTTGAAGGATCTGGTTCGGTTGAAGGATCTCATTTGGTTGAAAGATTGGGTTCAGTTAAAGGATCTAGCTTGGTTGAAGGATCTGGTTGGGTTGGAGGATCAGGTGCAGTTGAAGGGTCAGGTTTGGTAGAAGAATCTGGTTTGTTTGAAGGATTTGTTTTGGTTGACAAATCTGGCTAGATTGAAGAATCTGGATCAGTTACAGGATCTGTTTCTGTTGAAAAATCAGGTTTTGTTGAAGGGTCTGGTTTGCAAACATTACATATAAACGAATGTGTCTGAAACATGCAATAAGATGAAGGTATGGTAAAAAAATGTCAATGTATAAATATTATTGAATTTTAAATACTTACTATTTTGTCATGTCAGAGTGATAAGGAGTGATAAAGGATTGGAAGGTTTGATGCAATAATAGTTTAAAACGTTTGTAAATACTATGTAATGCAAAGTTATTTTAATTTTTTTTCCCTAGTGAAACATTTCACTGTTTCAATTTTCCTTTGTCAAAGTAGGGATGAAGAGTCGGAGAAATTGGTTGGTTTGGATTTAGTGATGGTAAAGACAACATTACTTGGCCGGGGGTATGGAGATATACAATATATTTGAATTTAAAATTAAATTGTTAGGCTTAAATAATTACGTTCTAATTAAATTCAGCTTTTGAAAATTATTAGCTAATCATTGGATTGGAAACCCAAGTTAAAACTCAAAGATTTTCTTACGTTTCTTGTTAAAAATGCACAAATTTCGAAATAATTTCGCATTTAATGAAGAAATTTGAAAGTTGTCAATATGTAAATCTTTTTAGAAATACAGTTTTAGAAATTACACCCATGGAATAAGTTGTATTGAAAAGAAAGTTCTATAATCTGCCGATTTATTTCTTTCCCCTGTGAAATGGATTTAAAATCGGAATCCAATGTTTCTTCCTGTTTCTTGTTTCTCTCAACTCTGGGCCATAAACCAGGATAGAATATAGAAATTTTTGTTTTAAACAAATATCAAAGAGTGCTGTGTGACACATATGTTTCTACATGCATTTTTCAAGGGCTTTTTAAAATTATAGTTTTTAGATCTGTAGGTTTAGTTATGGGCTATTTTATTGGCTATTTTAGATGTTTTTCTCACAGAGCAAATTTTTTTTCTGCCCTGTACCCTACCCTATAAATTAAAAAAAATATTTTTTTCACAAAAAATCCTTTAATTTACTTTTCATTAAAAGTCTCAAAATTTCCCCTCTAAATGGATTTAAAATTGGAATCCAATATTTCTTCCTGTATCTTGTTTCCTGGGCCATAAACCAGTATAGAATATAGAACATATTTTAAATTATTAAATATGATTTATTAAAATATGAAATCTCTCAGCTGTGCAATCTACTGACATACAGTACGAATACATCGGAAGAATTTATCAAATGTCATCTTGACAATTTTTCAACGAGTTTTATACTATATTTCGTATATTTCAGTATTTGCGAAAATAAATAAATGGCCATAAATATATGCGGGAACATTTTTAAAGAGTTCCATATAATTATTTAATTAAAAAACTAAATATCTGCAACATTCCATTATCAGAAAGTGAAGAATACGACATTTGATGAATTCTTTCGATGTATTCGTTATTAAGGGTTTCACTGTAATAACTTTCCTTGCATTACATTCTTGGTTACAGTAGGGTTGGTGTACTTAATGTACGGTAAGGCCATGAGAGAATTTTGCACTCAGAATACACCATTTTCGGTGGCTGTACAATTGTATATTGGTTGTTTGTAAACGAACGCAACCGACACTGGACTTTAATCGAAATATGAAATTGAACCCAGTAATTCAAGATAGGGATACACGGACAAACAAACAGACAGACAAGTGAAATTAATGTAAATTGATCTGAGAAAGTCCCGGAAAAAAAAAGTTTCTGAAAAAACCTGGAAATAAAAACTTTGGAAAAAAAGTCCGAATTTTCTCAAGTCCTTGGAAAAAATGTCATTGGAAATAAAGTCCTGTGTTTTGGATTCCTGAGACTTTTTTTTCCGAAAATAGTATGGGGGCTGCCAATAAAGTCTCAGGAAATAAGATCTCAGGAAAAAAGTCTCGAAGAAAATAAATCCGAGGAAAAGAAAAACCTTGAATAAAAGTCCTAAGTCTCGGGAAATTTGAACTCATACATCATATACAGGGCTAGTTTTATATTATATTTTTAAGTAATATGAAAAAGAAAATGCTAACTATACCCGTGATAAATATATTTTATATTTCTTTTTTGAAAATTATTTACCCTTGCCAACATACCGTCTGAGAGGTTTTCATAAAAAGGACTTTTTCCATATTGAATATATAGCCAGGGGTGTTTAAATATCAAAGCCTACGATTATTAATAGGATGTTAACAACCAGGACTTTTTTCCATTGTGAATCATGCATTTTCGCTTGTTAGAGGACTTTTTTTCCGAGGACTTTTTTGTATAAAATCATACTGGAGCCAGAAAAAAGTCCTAGAAAATAAAGTCTCGAATTGTTAGGACTTTATTTCCGGCGACTTTTTAATAAAAGGACTTTTTTCGACAGGACTTTTTTAGTATGAAATTTTAGGATTTTTTTCCGGAAACTTTTTTGTATAAAATCATACTGGAGCCAGAAAAAAGTCCTAGAAAATAAAGTCTCGAATTGTTAGGACTTTATTTCCGGCGACTTTTTAATAAAAGGACTTTTTTAGTATGAAATTTTAGGATTTTTTTCCGGAAACTTTTTTGCCAAGGACTTTTTTGGAGGTTACCCCCCCCCGTCCCTCTAACTACCCTTTTTAAGAAAAATGAATCATTTTGAAAAATTTAATAACGCTTAAAGAAATTTTTTTTGCAGGAAATGCTAGATTTTTCGAGTAGTATTTCCGTATTTTGGCCTTAAAGATTGGAGATAATCTAATATAATATGTGACGCTCTGTTAAATACTGTTAAATACTGTTAAATACTGTCTAAAAAGTGTTAATACTTCTGAGCTGAAAACTTTAGAATGGTGGATATCGAGACTAAGGCTTGATCCTCTCTTTTTCTTAATATCGAGACTAACCTAATCTTGAACTAGTATCCTGAAAAGTGTATAAAATATGACGCTGATAAATTTGAAATTTTGCGCGCCATTTAAGATTAATATACAGAAACGGAAGAACTCTCAAATTTTAAAAACCGGTTTTGGATTTTTCTTTACTATATCCGAGGAAGACGGTTTAAGAAGAAAATCAAAAGTGTGTCCATTGGATACTAATCAAGATAATGGATATCTCGTTCTAAAGTTTTCAGCTCTGTACCCCTAAACAAATGTTGTATTAGTTTTTAATCTCATAGATTTCCATATAACGCTTCAAAGGAAAGGGAGAAAGCTATAAACAATAATTTATTTATTTATCTCTTTCTCTGTAGATCTAGAAAATAACAGTCTCAGCAAAATGGCCTTAACGATAAATCTTTCAATTCCCAAAATCCTTTCTTTTGGTTAAAATGTCTCTGTTTTATTCTAGATAGATTTGCAACTTTCTAACACAAAACATAAAGCTTTGTATTTGTAATGAGAATTTCAATGCTTTGCATCTGACATTACGCTACAGATCTAAACCTTTATATTTCAAACTTAAAATATTTGATCTAACAGTATTCATAGTTTGAAATAAACAGAGTTCTACAGTATTAGGTTACAAAAATATAAGAATCAGAAAATTCCTTTGATTGCACACGAGCTTANAACAATTGAGAAGGAAATATCAATATATTTCATATAAGAATAAACCTAGTTATATACCTAGTTATTTGTACCAGCGCTCAGCACTTAGCATGTAAACTTCTGACTGAATCATACTAAATTTTGCTTTATTACACTTTGGTTGCCACCATGAATTATTCCCTAAGTATGCGAATGTTTATTTTTTTTAGAATGCTGATTGCAATGGTAATCATCTTTGGTACATCCTGGTTTCCAATCAACCTTATCAACCTTGTAGGAGATCTGGTGAACCTTGGTAGGATTATTTTTATAAATTTTAGGATATATGAAGAAATTTTTTTCCTTAGAACGTAATTCTAAGTGACCTTCCATGAAAAGATGGCAATTTTGTATTGACAGTATACAGTAGCCTTGAAATATGTATCAGATCAATAATGTGGGAAAGATCGTCACAAATGAAGAGAACCCTATTTATTTTAAGATTATAAACATTGATATTTAATATATACTTGGGAAAACAAAGCTTCTATGGTACCGTTGTAAATCAGGCATTGCCATCTTTGCATAAAGGGTCACTTGACAATACGCTAACCGTCCCTTTCAGATAATTGTTTAATATTGCATTTTTATTTACATTGCTTTAACGACTTATAACTGTTTATTTTTCATTAACACTCTTACTTTAATACATTTTGCAAAAGAAAGTTAAAATGGTTTGATAGACTCGTTTTAAAACTAAACAATCCATGTAAAATTTTGTATATTAAGTATTAAACACATCTAATTTAATGAAAAACCGACTCAAATCCTCCTGAATCTTTATCTTTAAATTGGTGTTGTATCTTAGACTGATCTCAATAAGAGTGAACAGTCCCTTAGATACAACGGGATGAGATTCAGTACAGCCCGAACCTTAGAAGAGAAGACAATGTATCATTATCTATAAAATAAATGGGTTTGATTCATTGCTCTGAGATGATTGAAGGTGAAAATACAACATTGGTGATTCAAGATTTGAACTGGTAATAGTCGGCAGTTTAGTAACCTGGCTCAAATTCATTAATTTTGGTCCCCTGTTGATGATTGATGATTTTTAATTGCAGAGTGCTGGGAATACTACTACTTTACCTTCTTCATTTGTCATGTTGGAGCCATGTCCTCCACCTGCTACAACCCAATCCTCTACGGTTGGTTAAACAGTTCCTTCAGAACTGAATTCTCAAGGATCCTACCCTGCCTCAAGTATGTAATATTTCATAATCTCATAAAAACATTATTGTTATAAACCAGGTTTTTATTTTCTCTTTTAAATTATCAAACCATAACAACTAATTTTCGTGAATTCATCGTTTTTTTGTGGATTTAAAAAAATTTTTTTTTTTTAAATACTTCCCTGGGGTCATGTCAGGTCCCACAAAAAATTGACCCGATTGGTTCAGTTGTTTTGACGTTTATTGGATACAAAGAAACAAACTAAAAACTTGGATAAGCAAATATTACATGGTGCCTTAATAAACAATGACTTCTATGTCGTCTTTTTTCCAAGCGGGATTATTTCGTGGATATAATTTTGTAATTTCGCATTTAAAACATTCAAAACACCGAAAACTACTAGTCTCGGGATTTCCAAAATGTGGTCTACCGTTTTTTTACCTTTAAAATTGAAGGAAGTATTAAGAAATTTGTTCATTAAAATCAACAAAACGTTAAATCTTTTTTTAATGCACTTTATGTCATTTATCAATTATCGGAAATCAAAGACGATATTTAAGTCGTCTCTCAGTTCCAATGATTATAGGGACACCCTGTATATAAGAAGAAACTAAAACTGTACTTTACACTGGACAATTTTTGTTAGATTTCTCCTTATTCTAAATTAAAAACAGAATTGATTGTAAAATAAAATCATTATTATGATTTTATAAAAAATAAAAATATGTTATAATGAACCCCCGGCAACACCTTTCAACTAATCTTAATATAAAATAAACAAGAATAAAAACAATTATTTCTTCAGGAGTGATACTCCAGTGGAACAAATCGAGATGAAAGGTAAACCCCATGGGACAGAGATGAAAACTATATCTCCCCCTGAAGCTGTCTAGATACCTGAAACCTCTTCAATTCAATTCCATACTCATCCAATACAAAAAAAAATGATGAGTTAGCTAAAGAAAGCTGAAAAACTTTAATGCTTACGTATTTACCACAAGCTGACACTAACTCCAAACTTGTGGATTAGACGATCATAGACCAATAAAGAAAAAGAGATCGTCCATGGGTTCTTTAAGAGTTGAAATTATCTGTGGTAGAAGGTAAATTGTTCAAATCAAGGAGAAACACTTGGTGTCACATTTGTGCACACATTAGAAGATTTCAGTTTTAGGATATTTTCCTCTGAAAGTACAATAGTCAATAGAGCAAAATATATTATCCATATCATTATTTATGCATAGTTATGATGGGATTTACAGGGTTATTCACAAAGGATAAGACTTCAGAGACGATAGTACGGTATTCTCTTTCCTCATATTCATGGTTTTCTGAAACTTCAAACTTATTCAGCGCTTTTTCAAATTATTGAACATGCCATAAAATGACTATAGTTTAGAAAGAAGACTTGTTTTAACCTTGCAATTGTCATATTTAACGAGTTTCACGTCGTCTTTACAGTCTCATCCTTTGTGGGTAACCCTGCAGTCCATTGACTACAAGAAAAGCACAGCTGTTTTTTGTATATAGTTGAAGTGAGCTTTATAAAATAAGTTCAATGAAACAAAATTTATATTGTTCCTGCATGAATTTGTCAGGGAAAAAAACTAGAAACGAGAAAAACTATGATATCTTTCGGAATATTGATCATCTAAAAGTTTAATCACACAAACCACATTACAATTGTTGTTAAGTAAAGAATACAGTGGTTGAATTTAAAGAGTTTAAAGTTAAGCTGCGGCTCTAATAGGGTTGGTTCCACATAAAATTGTATTGAATTTTTCAAGATTTAAGCTGGCCTTCAATCGAAACCGGTTTTTGGGGGATTTGAGACGTGGCTTGAATTCATTAAATTCGGACACAGTCTCTGTAAGCTCTCAACTTTGCATTATGCTTATATAAACTTCAAAGTTTCAGGGGATTGGGAATGATAAAAATCTAAAAGATAAAGTAAATAAAATAAATAAATCACATTATTTTCTACCATTTCTTATTTGTTGTTAAGTTTTAACCCTATCCCGGTCATACCGGACTAACCAGAGTGAGCAGCATTCGGTTTCTTCAATTTGAAATCAAACGTGTTTTGGTCTATAATTCAACAATCTTTTACCTTACGGATTTGTTTATTTTATACTTGTTCATTCAAAATGTGCATGCCGACAAAAAAGTATTCAAAAAGGGTAAAAAATTATGTCTAATGAGTCAAATTCTGATCGAAAGCCACAGCTTTCTGGAATATTGACAGAACCGCGCGTTAAATCCACATGCGGTGAGGTTTTTTTTTGAGGTCGAGTACAAAAAGTATGACTTCAGGCTTAGTCATTTTAGACACATCAAATTCAAGCGAGATACTAAACATTTGTTTAAAAGTAAGAAAAATATTTGAACTGTGAGTTTGAAAGCTGTTTTAAGTTATAAAGAAAGCAGGGGGGATGCCAACTACCCCCCCCTCCCCACCAAACCGGTACAGGGTTGAAATATTTTTCCAAAATTTGTATTAATGAAAAGCATGTCTAGAAAGTTGTTAGACTAAATCTCAATATTTGACTTAAACTTTGATTTAATGAATTCATTATTGTTCTTATAGAACTTATTAAACTTTTAAATCTTTTTTGAAACATTTAAGAAATAAAAATGTATTGTTTTAAAAAAATCAGACCAAGAATAATAATAAAAAATTTGATTTACAGCTAAGTATAATGATTTTTACAGAAAAAATAGTTTTTGATTAAAGTGATGATTTTTGTACTTGATCTTTCGTTCAAAACATTGAATATTGTTCACACAGAAATAACTTAACTAGAAAAATACTGATTGATATGAATTATTTTAAAATATATTTTTTTAAATTATGTATATTTTCAAAAAGAATTTTTTTTAAATGTAAAAATTGTAAAATGTAGAAATGATAAGTTGTAAAAAATGTTGTAAATGTACCTGTGTTTAAAATAAAGTAAATAATATTTTTTAAAGCCACAATATAAAATTTCTCAGAAAATCAAGTTGGATTGATATTTTTTAGAAAAAAATTATTTCCATTATTTTCCCAAAATTCCAAAAAATACTATTTTATATAAGAATTACACCAAAATTTGACTTATTATGATGAAATAACTATAAAACTTGTAATTAGAAATGTGTATGTGATTGTTAATCATAATAGTTGACTGTAAACTTATTTATTGTGAACACCAACTTGTAGCTAGAATTATAGTTATCCGTTTTTGCACAATTTGAGACACATGTGTAACCTTTCATTGTATTTTTTAAGAGGGAAATGGAAAAATACATGTATGTATACAATTAAATAAAAATATCAAACTGAAGAACATAAGATTTAAATTATAACTTTTAGTGGAGAGCCAAAGTTAGAAGAACAAAATTGATTTGAATTTCTAGAACGTAACCAGCTACTCATACTTGGTGGTAAAATCAAAATTAGTAAAGCTACCAATTAACAAAAGCAGTAAAAATAATGATGAAAAAAGTCATATTTTCCCAAGCTTAGTTTCCAGTGAAAATCTAGGATAAAACATTTCTTCTAATACCATAAATCTATTTTATTAAGAATCAGATCTAAAATTTATGAAAACAACCAAAAAAACCATATTGTTTAGCTGTTGTTAGTTGTAATATATAATGTAATAGTGTTGTAATTTATTAAAACTAAAATTTAAACATCCATGTTTTCTAAATATGGTCAAAGAAGTCTGAGACTTTTTTGACTTTATTAGATTTATACAAAGTAGAATTCTCTGTCTGTTTGTCTCTTTGTAAGTCTGATAGAACGTATGGTTCTTGACATACTTGCCTCAAATTGATTGTGGAAATTAATAGAAACAGGCAGTTTTCTTAGAATGGTAAACAAGTTTTATGTTGCAAAAGTCCATCAACTTTTATGGGGAAACCTACTTTGAAACCTAGCTTTGCCTGCAAACAAAGTCAAACTACTCTAAATTTCTTAACTAAGATATAACAAATATTATGTTTCTACCCAGTTCCCCGATCAAAATTTGAGGCAAATTGGTCAATGAGTTCATACAATCTAATCAGACTTACAACAACACACACAAACAGAGCATTTTACTAGATAGAGATATGTCAACTAAACATTTACACTAAATAATGGAAACTTTTTTCTTTATATCTATTTAGATACTGGAAAAATATATAATATTTATATAATATATATATTGTATATATATAAATATATATATACTATAAAGGCACATCATTAAAACTTTGTCATTTTCTGAACTTTGTTAATGTCCCAACATGTACCAAGTATCACTGTCATCACTCAACAGCTCTCAATATATATAATCCAGAAATGTTATTTTTTTTCAAAATTTTATTTTCGAAAAACTTAATATCATGAAATATCAAAATTGGACAACAAAATTTGCTGGGAGGGGTGTACATTAAGAATATTTTCATCCAATACTCTTGACAGAAAATAAATGGTTTAAGGATCAATCCATAACTAAATTTTTGTTAATCTAATAAATTTAAAAATAATTATATATACTCTAAATTTCATTATGACTCAAGTTAGAGAAACCAAAAAAAGAGAAAAACAACTAATAGTAATTATATTAAATGTATTTTTAGTAAGTATTTAATGTAATGTATTGATATTGTGATAAATAAAATGTAATTTTAAATTACTCAAAGAAAATAAGAGAGAGCGAGGTTGGAGATAAGATAGCATTTTTAAAGACTCCAGTAAATCTAAATTAGTTGAGATTAAATAAATGTCATAACTTTGGTATTTTCAAGGAACTCAGTTTTTGCAACAAATAATGTCAATTTCTTTATCTTTGCAACTTGATGGTGTAAACCTTAGATATTTCAAAATTAGAATATTTGATCTGACATGATTTATAGTTTGAAGTATCAAAAGTCTTTAAAATCTGCTTGCAAAGATGTATGCATTAAAGCCAGAGTGCTTTAGTGATAGTGTATAACCAATAAATTGCAAGATTGGAAAAATTAGATTTCCTTCAATTTAACATTTAGTAATAGTGGGACCAAAAACAAATTGTAAAGTTAAAGTTTACTAGAAATTCAAGGTGCTTTGCGCCCTTCTTTTTAGGCTTTTAGGGCGCTTCCCACTCATCTTCTATTTAAATTGTGAACATGTTTTTTTAAACACATTTTTAAAATTATTTTATCATTCATAAACCTTCCCTGTGGTCCCGTGATGTCCCACATAAAATTTGAGCCTGATCGGTTCAGGCGTTTTGACGTTTATTGGATACAAACAAACAGACAGACACCAAATCAGACAAGCCAAAAATATATAGAAGTTTTAATTCAAGATTTGTTCTTATAAAAATGACAATAAAATCAAAGGTTGTTTTTTTTGTGTACTTTTATATAAAGTGTTTGATCCCTTAATCAAAATATGACTATACCATGGGATATTAATCCTCAAGATGGATATCAATACTTGATATATCATAAGATTCACAGCACAAACTTCTAACTTCTATATTTGAATAGAATAAATACAATTTATGATGGAATAACTAACTTTGGAACCCAGCTTTGTCTAGAGTTTACCTTGTAAGAAGTCAACTCACATAAAAGCTAAGAACATTTCTGTAGGTTTTCTGAATTCTCCAATTAAAATCATACATCATAACAAACAAACAAAAATACAAAAACAGAGTTTACCAATTTACATATATAAGTAAACACATATTTATATATTCTTTTATTAATAATGATGTACGTACCTTTCTACATGAAACCGGTTCATACTTTAAAAAATTCCGATATTTTCAAGTTCATCCTAAATATGAAAACGACAGAAATTAAATATTTCTCCTAAAAAACACATTCATGTAACCTACAATCTAAAGCTTCAATACGTTCTACAGCAGTATTTGGCAAAATCTTGACACACAAATTACACTAATACCAATAAATTCCAAATTTTATTCTATTCTTTCCAGACCTCCAGACCTCCAGACCTCCAGACCTCCAGACCTCTTCACATAATTCACTCCGATTCCTTTTAGCATAAAGTCTAACTATATAATATGCAAAACGGGAAAAGGCTTCTTGATTTAGAAAACACATAAATCAAAAAGAATTGAATTTAAAGTTTAATCAAATTTGTTTCTAGAACATGATAATTATTTCTTATTGTATGTTTCATTGAATTATTTTTTTAAGAACAGGTTAGCATAATGAAAGCCATACAACTTGTGCTTTTTTATCAGCTA